AAAATCGCAAAAGACACAGACAACCAACATCGGGGTTGTACAGAACTTACGAACAATAGCTAAAATAGTGGAAATTAAAACGAAAATCTTAAGCAATTCGAGAGATAAATGCACTAACCCAAAGTTAACGATGAAATCTCCTTCGTTGTAATCTGCTACCAAAATCACTTCGTCTCACCGCTTGAAGACGACAGGGCTAGAGTTAACTTAAAGAGTCGCAATCGAATTACGAAGGAGAACGAGAACGAGAATTTGAGAAATGTAATTTCAATCGCAGGTGAAGACAAGTCAAATTTGAGAGAGCGAAGAATGCTATAGTGTGAGTGCGATAAAGATGGAACGGACGTGAGAAAATTGAAAGTTCGGACTATTCATATTACCCAAGTAAGGGAGGGAAAACTAAAAACTTTTGGTGCTACCCAAGTAAGGAGGGGCATTGAGGTCATTTGGCAAGGTAGATCATGTCAGCAAGTGACTAGAAAACTTGTGTTTTGAGAATGACGATTAAAAAACTTACTAGGCCCTACAAGAGGCTTATTTTGTCAATTTTCTCAAACATTATTTTTTTAACCTCCTACGGACCGAAAAAAACTTTGTTTTGTTAGAACAACAAATTTACCACCTCACTTCTTTCTTTGTTAGAACTGAATTTCACACATAAAAATATAAAGAAAACTAAAAGAGAATAAGTGTTATTTTATTGTAGTTTTACCCTCTTTTATTTATGTTCATCTTCTTAAACCTCCAATAAAATAATAACAATTATATGGAATATTCAATACACTCAACATACAAATTTAAAAAAACATACAAATATTTTTAAATGGTTTGGTTTAGTTTTACCAATATAATTATTTTTTATTATTATTATTATTTTAAATTAATGACAATTAAATTTCACAAACGTTTCTAAATTTAATTAAAAAAAAAACATAAGATTAACTGATAAGTTAAATAATGCCAATGTCTTTCTATGGTTATTTGATAACATAAATTAGTATAATTATTTTTCCATAAAATATTAGTCTTATTAGATTATATCAGATGACAATTAAACCTAAAATTAGATAAGCTCAAGCTGTCACTTAAGCTCATCGAAAACTTTATAAATAGAAGAGATCATTCACCAATCAGATCTATTTAGAAAATCTGATGAAAGTTTTTTAAACTTTCTTTAAAAAAAATTGAAGAATATTTGAAGGCTCAAAATAATTTAAATTTTGTACTAAATTCTTATAAATCATGCATATTCTAGGTTTTTTTTTTATTATTATTTTTAGGCATATTCTAATATTCAATCTAAAAAACTTCAAAAAAAAAATTTAAGATCAATATTTTTGTACGACATGTAGGGTGGGGGATTCGAATCCACGATCTCTTGATCGAATACAGGTATCTCAACCCGTTGATCATTGTTAAGGTTGACTTCAAGACTTTAAGAAGTTAGATTAATTGAAAATTGAATACTCCATCTATTCAGTATCATGTGGAACTTTCCCTTTGAATCATTACTTTATATCTAAAAAATTGTCAGATATTTTATGATCTGTAAAAATATTACTAAATTTTATATTTTTTCAAAATTAGTTACATTTAAAACTTGATGCATTAGTTAATAAATGTCCTACTTAAGAATGAGGGTGCTGCATAATATATATTAATAACTATTTATGTCACCAATTTATCCAATTACATTCAATAATAATTATATTTTCAAATTTTGTTAATTCGAACATACCTCAGTGAATGAAATGCCTATTAACATGTCTAAGGTTGATGGTTTGATCCTATAATGCAATTATTAAACTAAAAAAAATTACATAATCAAAATTAATAACTATTAAAGTGAAATTTATATATATTACTTTGATTGTCTGGAGTTTATAGAGCGCTTTCACAGTTATTCACATCCAATCTCATGCTAATAAGAAAAACGAGTAATTGTTAGTTAGCTTTCTTTATTGGACGGGAAGATGGAATTGCAAAGGTCTTCCCACACCACGCGTATTTCAAACCTTGCCGATGAATTGAAAATCGGTCTCAAATTCCTTCGCTCTTTTAACTCTCATATTTGCAACGTTATAGTATCTTAACGAAAATAGAAAACAAATTAAGTTAGTTTTGGAAATGAAACCTCTTATCCATTTATAATATTTGATTCATATTGTTTGAAAATTCCATACTAGCACATTGGCAATTTGGAATACTGAAATCCAGGTTCAAAGCCTGGCTGCGTAAAATATCTTCTTTTCTTTCAGAATTAAATTTGGGCCTTTGGCACGGAGGAAAGCCGAGCTTTTCAAAAAATATGTATAGTTTTTCAACTTAACTTTCATGAAAGCATGAAGCTAGCTAAACAAAAATGTGTTGTTATTAAAAAAATAATAATTCCTTATTAAAAAAAGATTAATTTGTGATTTGAGAACTAATTAATAAATTTATATCTATGGATTAAATTTAGTAGTTAAAAAATACAAAACAAAAAAAATTAAATACAAAAATACTAAATTCATATGATATAAGATATATGAAATAAAAAAAAAATTGTTTTTTGAACTAATGAAAAAGAAAAATCATCCTAAAAAAAAATCAATAAAGTAAAAATCAAAATTATATAATATCTTTTCAATTAAAAAAAGAAAAGACTTACAAATATCTTTAAAGTTCTGTTTGAATAGACCAATACAATAATAATAATAATAATAATAATAATAATAATAATTATTATTATTATTATTATTATTATATGAAATGTCCAACATAATTCATTTACCAAACTTCACTTTGTTGGTTAAATTTTGATTTATTGGTTTGATTCAGTTTTTTAACCGTTAAAACATTGTAATGATTTTTTCTTTCTAAGATGTGCAAATGAAAAACATTATTGACATACATACTATATCTTTTTCAATTTTTTAAAAATAATAACAAAAGAAAAAATCAAATACATGTCAAAAGTTATACTTTGTCCAAACTACTTATATATAATTGAGTAAGAGCTAAAAAAATAAATAAATAACTCAGAAATGGCAAGAATTTTAGTAATTTTAAAATCTATTTCACCAAAGTTATTATAAAATAATCTAAGAGAAAAAAAAAACCCATCTGTTTAATCATAGCTAAATAAGTGTTGCCTTAATTTTTTTTAAACAGTGTTATTGCATAAATTATTTAAAGAAATATGTATCGTTATAAAAAGATTAATGTGATTTGAAAACTATATAATAAATTTATTTATAGGGATTAAAATTAAAAATTCATGAATTAATAGCATTAAATAAACTGTTATAATAAAAAATATTTATTATCAACAATATAATAATAAAATATATTATTATTATAATTAGTAAAAAAATTAATACAATAATATATTTGTAATTAATTAGAAAGAAAAAGTATGATAAAAAAAAAGAAAAAGAAAAAGAAAAAAGAGTATATTAATAATTATTATATATCCAATTCTGATTTGAAATAATTTTAGTATAAAACATCAAAAGAATCGTGATTCCAATTTCAAAAACTTTCTAGTAAACATCAAAGAAATAACATCCTCATTTCTAATTGATTTAATTCCAATAAATGAAATTAATTTGGATTCATTCCCATTCCCATTGCAGGTAAACAAAACCTTAATGTCAAACTTGATCTTCATAAAATTATATTATAAATTACTAATTGAACCTTGACATAGGGTAATTTTGAAGTTGATAAATGTTATGTTAGTAAAAATTTTATTTTATTTTTTCCAACAAACATCCAAACAAAATTTTAACCACATTCATTTCAAAATTTCCCCTATTCCAAATCATGGAATACGAAATCATTTCTTGACCCATGTTACTTCTTGGCCACTTTGCCAAGATGCGAAGCAAAATCCTTTCAACTCCTCAATTTAAGGATGAAACTATATATATAATGGAAACAAGAACCTGATCTAATACAAAAAAGAGCTACATATCGAAGATAATATATATAATATGAAATCATTTCTCGTCTCGTCAAGTTCGTCACACGTCTCTCCTATTTCCTATTGAACGAAATCCGCAAAAAATATAAGTTATGGTTGAAATCTTCAACCGCAAAAAAACAGCTAATTGTGAAGAACTAATTACCAACCTTCTGCTCTTGGCAGTAGGGACAATTATTCCTCTTTTCTCTAAGCTCTTGAACCTATCCTTCAAAAGGGTGCAACAGCCCTATATACATTTATACAACACAATGTTCTTTTAGTTCACATCTAAATTTCAGAAATCACGATTTTTATAAAAGTATTCAGGAATGATGATGCAGAGAGGGGAACTAGATGACCGCACCTTCAGCTTGCGAAGCGATCCAGTTATTTCTTCGGCTAGTAGGACTTGAACCGGAGCAGGCCCAAACCTGGAAGTAACACCATGCAGCAATTCAAAATGCAAATTTTCTTCTCCTTTTTCTTGTTTTAGCATGAACAAAGAATATGGTGAAGTTTTATGCTATGTAGATATTAAACGAAGCTTTCGAATCGAATTGATTTGTTACTTGTTCGTTCAAGTGGGATACTAAAAAGTGAAAAACAACAATCTCAGAGTTGCGATATGAATTATATAAAGATAATACTGCATACTTGTGCTTTCCCAAGCGCGGTGGGCATGACTTTAATCTCTCCTGTTTGGCTATTGTTCGCCGGATATGTCTCCTGTGTCTCTCCTCATCCTCTTTGGCAATTTCTTGAATGATATCCACCAAGCTACATCCATAAGAGTGAAAGCTCAGTTCATTGAACCTTTTGTAACGATGGAGGAGAAAGGATACTAATTTACCTGTCAATCTCTTTAGAAATTCCCTCCAACTTCTTTGCTTTGGCTTCCTTTTTGAGCTGTTCTTTATGCCTAGCTCTCTTATTCAACTCAACTCGAGTCACCCGCCGCATCTTCAGAGGCCTGTGCAACAAGCTTAATTTCTTTAAATAACACCAACTTGAAGATATCATTCCTAAAATATTCTCTCAAGAAATTATCACTTTTTTTTTTACCTTTTACAAAATCTCATAAGAAATTATTGTAATCCACAAACCAAAAACATAAACACATAGAAAGACCAGAGGTTCAAGCCCAACCTAGAAACCAGGGATTAAAATTAAAAAATTTTAAAAAATAAAAGAAAAAGAAAACGAAAACGCTCAAACTAGTAGCTAGCAAAATAATAGGACCTCTCTCCTTGCAAATAAAAGAAACAGAGGCTCACATTGATCTGCAGACAATCCCAGACCCAGACGTCATTTAGATTCCTCCCAATTCCCAAGTTTCCAAAAACCTTCCTATTCCATCCTAAAATAATAGAATTGCAGTAAAATAGAATTCTTGAAACATTTTACTTCCACAGTTGCAAAAGTATGCAAGCTAGAAGAGAAATCATGGACATATACAATCGAAGTGCAAGCAAGATCTGTTCAATCCCAATCCCAATGAAAGCAGAAAAATAAAAGAACAAAAAAGCAATTGAAGTACATTGTTTCTACTTAAATATAGTGAAAACTATTCATGAGAGAAACAAAACAATGATCCAAACGAGTTGAAAAATCTGCAATCTTTAAAATAATTTTGCTCCAAGAAATGAGACCTCTTTTCTGATTCATTATTTTCATTCTGATCCATTTCATCCAAATTCATTTCCTCATCTGTATCACGATCAGCATCCAGAAATAACATCTGCAAAACAGGAATTGAAGATAACCTCTTGAATCAAGAAAGAGTAACTAAAAAATAGATTATATATTGAGGGAAGTTTTCTAATACAATTCAAGTTTATAGATGAAAATACTCACATCTTCTTCACTAAGAACTTCTCCCGGTACTGTTAAAGGAACTGGCTCAGGCCCCAGCTCATTTCGATATACTTTCTGCATTTCTTCTGCAACAGCATGGGCAAGTATATCCTGCATTTGTTAGGGAAGCTTAAGAGAAAAAATGGATAAAAGACTTTGAAGGGAAGAAAGCACTTCTAACAATTGATTATCAAAAAGTTACATGACGACTTTTCTAACTTCTTTTACAATAATTACAAACAAATCTCAGGATTATTGCCTTACCTGATGACTCTCATGTGACGGATTGAATGAACATCCTGGAGGCTCAACTTCTACTGCTGGAATAATAGATGACTTCGGTTTCTGTCCAACATTGCATCAACGTTACCTAGTTATATTCTTGCAATTAAATCCATACTTTTTCCCTCATTTTGATAATTCTTTTTTCTTTCCACCTCTTTTCTTCTTTTTTCCCCCTCTTTGCATAAGCATAAGACTCTGATATCTTTATCATCGATATTACCATATATGAGACTGATGACCTTAAACTTATGACATTAATGCGATTTAATAAAATACACGACTCATAATTAATTAACCAGGTAGAGCAGAGTGTACCTTACTGATTTTGCATTTATCTTCACCTACAGTAACAAAAAAAAACATGTAGTGCAATGTTTGATTATTCTATTTTCCCATTAAAAATGGTTGTTAAGAACAAAACGTGAGATACAGATTATAAGAGTAATGAGAGGGAAAAAGAACACCATTATCATCCCATAAATCAAACATGCCACCCCTGGCACCATCTTGAGAGGTTTCTTTAGCTTTGGAAGCCCCTTCTGGTTGTTTCTTGGATTTCTTATTTATTGAAGAAGGCACAGGTTGGACAAACGGATTCTTTTTCAATATGCTGTCGCTGTAAAGTACTTTGTCCCTTTTCTTTTCTATTTTCCGTTTCACCGAAAGATCTATACAAAAATACAAGGAGAAAAAATAAAAATAAGTGCAAACATCGACAATCTGTTCCTTTATATACAATTATTGTTAATATCAACAAGCTAGTAGTTCCTAAGTAAATGCATGTGTTTGCTCATCCAACCTACTTTTATGGGTTTTTTTTTTTTTTATATAATCAGCAGAGCTTTGCTCTCCTATATCCAGGATAAACTCTGTCCTCGAACTCATCTCTCACTAGAGGATTCGAACTTGAAACCTCTAGAGCCAACATGACCAAGTAAGGCCCATTGGGGTCCTATTTAATGGATTTTGTGCACGCAGATAGAACAAAGTTCAATTTAGTCCAAAAAATTCAGTGTTCTATTAACCGAAACCAGTTCCTACTCTTAAGAAAACAAATATAGGTTGAATCCAGCCTCTTACCACATTATCATGAAAGTAGATTAAGGATACTATCGAATCATCAGTCATATATCGGATGAAATGTTTGGTCAAAACATGTCGAATAGAGCGAAAATACAATCAGTGGTACCTCTGGACTTATCGACAACGAAAAGAGAATCGCTGGGAAAGGCGGAGAGAGAGCCGCCGGAGAGAGAATCCTTTGTGGACTTGTCGAAGAAATCCTCAATGTCTGCAGTGCTTATGTTTGCTCTCCATGCCTTCTTCCCCTTCCTAGAGCCCTTTGATTTTTTCCCCATCGCTCTGAAAGTGAGGATCGTCAATTCAGGGAGTATCGGCGGCTGGCGCAGTGCCGTTGGACGGCGCCCGGAGGGGCGGTACCGGACGTGCAAAGCAGGTAGATTGGACGCAGGTTGATGCAAGCAATTGGATCTTTTATCTCTGCCGCCGCAACTGTGAAGAAGACAGATTTTAGGTTTGTTGAACTCCTCGTTATATCATACAATGGTTCGGTTCCGATGCTTTTTTGTTTGATTGTGGGGAAATTAGCATAGATAATCTAAAAAGTTGATACTACTTACCTCAATTAAAAAAATCGACTCAATTGACCGAATCTTAACTTTTCTGACATTTTAGAGATGATGTAATGATAATGTACCCACAAATTAATTAAACTACAACCAATCTAGCACGAAAATAGTTCCAATCACGTAGGTTGATGTAATTAAAACCATGGGCGAATTCGACTTGATTCATGACCGTGAATTTATTAAAGTACCACCAAGTTATTAATTCTCCACCAAATTTTTGTACTATCATTTAATATATACCAAAACATTCGCACAGATTGTAGAGAATAAAAGTATGTTTCAATCCTTATTGTCCTCATGCACATCTTTCACGTTTTTTTCAAGAACTTGTGAACATTTTCCAACATTTTTCACATCTTGAATACCTTAAAGGAAGGTAATTTTTGATCTTTCACATCTTCAACGAGGTTAGTTTTTGATTGATTCATAATATTGTTTTCGATTCGTTCAGAATATGATGTATTTAGTTGGAGTGAATGAAATTTCTGAACTTTTAGGTGTATTTTTGTGGGTCAAAAGTTTCGTAAGTCAATGATTCATTACCGTATTTCTTCGTTTAACGGTCGTGGTCAATGTTTGTATGATTAACAGGCGTGGTATTTGGTGATTTCGGTCGTGGTTGCATACAGATACCCTTGATCGTCTCACGGCCATGATCCGTTTTGTTCGATTCACGACCGTGGTTGTAGGTTACTTCGGCCATGGTTGTTTGATTCACGGCCGTGGTCCTTTATTGTTTGATTAATGGTCGTGGTAGCATGTTCCATTGGTCGGGGTCTTTATTGTTAAATTCATGCCCATGGTAGTATGTTCCCCTAGCCGTTGTAGCATGTTCCCTCGGCCGTGGACATTTATTGTTCGATTCATGGCTGTGGTAGCAATTCCCTTGGCCGTGGTTGTGTGTGCCCCCAACCGTGTTTGTGCTTTATATTATCGGTTGTGTCTTAAACTATCACGGTCGTTGTGACTTTGATTACTAATTACTTATGTGTTATTCTTATTATCCATGCAGGATGCATCAACTATTTGTGATCTACGGTGGCAAATTGAACAAAGCTGGTACGGTGTACGAAGGTGGCGTCATGGGTGGGCTAGATGTCTATGAAACGATAACATATGTCAACCTAGTAAGTGTCTAGCACATGCTTACTAGAATTGACTCTGACCAATTTGGTCTTGTTGTACAGTGTGTATATAGATTTGATTTTCAGTACGAAGTCCCGAACTATCTGATATTTGATGACACCAGTTTGAGATTTTATTTGAATGGCCCTCCCGATCCATCACAAGTACCCTTGTACATAACTGTCGTATCTAAAGCATCATATGGTAGTGGGAGCAGAAGAGGAAATAATTTTTTCGAAACCCATACATCGTCTTCATTCCCATACTACCCAGGGCAGAATGATCTATGTTTCGACCCTTCTATTTCTGTTGATTCTCCTCTTGACGATGTCGATCCCCCTCATTTGTCCCACAGATTACACCATTGACTGATAATGTTGTCCCATGTAACCTAGGCAACGACGAATCTCCATATTATGGTCAATTGTACGAGAATGAGGCTGAGTATGAATTTCAGAACGATGATGAGTATGATTATGACGAATATCATATTGAAGATGGAGTTGAGGATGATGGTGGGAACAAGTATGACAATGGGGAGAAGGATGAATATCATACCGAGGATGTGTTTGTAGATCATTATGAGAATGAAGGTCAACATGTTCATGAGTCCCATACAGTGAGTGAGAATGCACCTTGTCAAACAGTTGAATGAGACATTTCACGTCCGATGCAGAATATCATAACTAGCAATGAGTCCGACTCTGTAGGTGAAATTGTTGTCAAAGGTATTTTCCATTTGAAAGAAGAACTACGCTTCAAGCTGTCTATGTTAGCTATGAAGCTTAATTTCGAATTTAAGGTTAAAAAATCGATGAAGACATTATACACCATTGGATGTACCGAACAAGGTTGCAAATGAGGTTTGCGTGCGAAGAGTATCCGAGTTGGTGACTCATTCATCATTTCGAAGTTTAATGATGTTCACAAGTGCAAACGTGAATTACTGAACCATGACCACAAAAAAGCTCGGAGTTTGGTGGTTGGTCAGTTATTGAAGTCCAATTTGGAGAATGTCAGCCGTCAGTACAGACCTAAGGACATTATTAACGACGTGCGAAAGAACTATGAGGTGAACATTAGATATGAAAAGGCATGACGGGCCAGAAATGTTGTCTTGAATATGCTTATGGGGTCACCTACACATTCATATACTTTATTACACAAGTATGGTGAAGCATTGAAGGCTATTAACTCAGACAATATTTTTGAAGTGGAGCTAGAGGAAGATAAGTACTTTAAGTACGCGTTCATGGCCCTCAGTTGCTGTATTAAAGGGTTCTCCAGTTGTATTCGCCCAGTGCTCGTGATAGATGGTGCACATCTCAAGGGTAAATATAGATGTGTTATTCTTATTGCTTATTCTGTTGATGACAACAATCAAATATATCCTCTTGCGTTTGGAATTGACGATCAAGAGAGTGATCAATTCTGGACTTGGTTTTTAAATATGGTCCAGATGTTTATTGGAGAGGTTGATGGGTTATTATTCGTATCTGATCGACATATTTCCAATACGAAATCTGTTAGGCAGGTCTTTCCTCAAACGGCTCACGGGATATGCATGCAACACTTATCCACGAATGTGAAGGACAAGTTCAAGGACGATGTCATGCAAGAAATGTTCATATTAGCAGCAAAGGCCTGTCGGAAATCAGAGTTCAGGTACTATTTTTCCCAACTAGCAGGATTTCTAGAGGTTTAAAGATACTTGGAAGGAATCAGTTTTGAAAGATGGACTCGTGCATTTCAACTGGGTTTGAGGTATGACCAAATGACATCTAATATTGCAGAGTCTATGAATGCAGTCCTCGTCTATGAACGTTCTTTGCCAGTCACTGCACTTCTTGAACATGCTCGTGCGCTCTTACAGTGGTGGTTTTATGAGAGGCAAACCTACGCATCCAGTCGTAAAACCATTCTTACTGACTACGGTGAGAATAAGATGTGTACTGCAGAGATCCTCTCTCGTACTCACTCCATCACACCCATTTACCACCACGAGTTGGAGGTGAACGATGGGCTAAAAAGGGTGCGTGTGAATTTAAATGCAAAAACATGTGGATGTAAATAGTTTGACTACTTCCAGCTTCCTTGCTCCCACGCTATTACAGCGGCCACCTATCGAACGTGAACAGGTACACACTACGCTCACCTGAATATACTTTCCAAATTCTCATTAACCCATATGTCGAACCTGTGTACCCTCTCAGCGATGAGGAGGATTGGATTTTACCTGATGACTTCGTCGACCTTAAAGTGGAGCTGCCAAATATATTTCGCGTGTACGAATTCCATCTGCTGGGGAGACCTGCCAAGTCTTCAAATGCGGTCAGTGTGGCAACATGGGACATAATAGAAAAACGTGCCGGCAGCCATTTAGAACTACAAATGGAGACATGTAAAACATTAGCTGATCTATTAACCGTATTTTTGAAAACATTGTACTCTTATTCACTTTTCTATTATTCGACCGAACCACTTAATATATTTTTCATTACTCTTGAAACTAACTAGGTTGAAATATATCTAAACACGCTCGTGGTCATACTTAGGGATGAATAGTCACTTTCTGAAAAATTTCATGGTCGTTAGTTTCTCGATCACGACTGTGGTCATGATTCAAATAAATGAAGGTCGTGGACATTCAACACAACGACCTTTAATTTTCAAAACCACGGCCTTGAATTTCAACACCACGACCTTGAATTCTCAACAAACGACCTTGAATTCTCTCAACCACGACTTTGAATTCTCTCCACCACGATCGTGAAATCACTCATCAAAGTCGTGAATTATTAACATCATGGCCGTGAATTATGAATATTTCGGCCGTGCGTCCTGCATTTTTTTTAATAACTTCTGATATGAACCAATGAGCTACCTTTGTTATACCTCATGGACCGATTACAAGATCGAGAGCTAGGAAACTTCAACAAGCTTTGCTACTTCGTGTCCAAGCGTTCTTGAACTCGACAAGAGAAAAAAAGGAAGACGTGCAAGAAGTTGGAACTATGCACTTCAATTTGGTGCAAGTTATGCATTTTTTAGTGTTTTTAAGGCAAGTCAAAGTCCACTTGGTCAAGGTCAAAGTCAACTCCATCAAGACAAGTCAAAGTCAACTCATTCAATTCAAAAACCAAGTCAAACACTCACATCCCTCATTATGGACGGGATTGCACTTATTTTGGTTGGCTTTCCATGTTTTTAACCTTTTCATTTGCTTGTCTTTCCATTTATTAAAGTTATGTCTTTTCATTTGCAAGCCTTTTCATTTCTTGTAAGTTATATCTTTTCATTTACAAGTCTTTTCATTTCTTGTAAGTTACAAGTCTTTTCATTTGCTTAAGACTTTTCATATGGCTTGCTAGGATGGTTATATGTAGCCTTGAGATGTCTTGTTGTAAACACAATTTGAAGTTTAATGAAAAGTAAGTTTTCTCATTAGCTTGGTTGAGAGCTTTATCTCCCATTTCTTGTGCAATTTCTTGTGTCTTTAGAATTTGCATGTTAGGATCATTCAAGCAGTCTTGATCACACCTCTTGTGGAGTGATTTGAATCACGAGTTTAGAAACGAGTTTTCTCTACTCTTGATATTGATCATCAAGGTAATCCGTTCTTAAACTTTTCCTTGGGTTGATTCCATACTTGTTTTCGGGGTTTTTTGGATTGAGTTCTATGGGTCTTGTTCGATAACAAGGTTATTAGATCCAACTCTCAAGGGTTTCTTAACAACTTCTTACTAAAGTCTTTTTTCATCACG